ACAGCCAAGACGGACAACCAAATCATGCAATCATTTTTCCAGCAGTCGGGGTAAAAGAGTAAAGAAAACAGTGCGTTCGGTAGATGAGAGGGAATGAAGTGGGTCTCCAACCTCACCTTGGAAGAACCGCATCCACAGCTTACTTCGCACTGGGCCGACAGGTTGCCCCAGTGCTGCATGATGCGGCCGCTTCGACCAGGAATTCTGTGTGCACTGTGTGAGGAGATGTCCGGATACACGAGTGCTGTTTACAGTTAGGGAGGCAGTATCCCTGTTCTCTTCCCCTACCCCCACTCCGATCTTTGACTGCAAGTGACTAGCCGAAAGAGATTCTCCCGCTCAACCATCTGCATGTATCATTTCGCTTTTTGGTTTCTTTTTTGTTCTCTTTCTTTTTTCTTTTTCTCCGTCTTTTTCCCATTTCTCTTTTCCTGACCGGATAACTCACGATTTAGAGAGCTCCTGCGGTTGGGACCTGATGGATACCGTTCTTTTCTTGTTTTCTTATTACTACCGCGTTCAACACCATGGGGTATTAGGATCCCACTCGAGTTTACCCTTTTACTAGTCACTCACTCTCGAGTGTTCCTCGCATTATTGTATAGCCGGTGGGTTTACTTTCTCTCATAGTTATAGGTATTTTTCTGGACCATTGGGGACAAAAATCCTGCTGCCTTGCTTGGATGAGGGTTGGTCTAGTGATGGATGGGTGTTCCAGCACCTGGATGAGTAGACCTTCGTGATACATACTGAGTGACTAGTCCTCCGAACTCGGGCATTGTTCGCAGAATGCAGTGGGGACAAAGGAAAGGTAAAATTTAAGGGGTCGGAAATCCACGTCACCTCATCTGCAAACATACACAATGTACGACAATCGTGGCAGTCAAAGGCCGGTGCTCAGATGTCCCAGGTTGGGGCCATTCCGATTGCCGGTAACGGTATGTCCAACGGAGCGCCAGAGTATTGTTCGGCTTTGTTGGTTAAGTAGCTTTTTGAAAGATGGTTCACTTTTATCCTGGACTACTATCATTGGAAGTGATTTCCAAGGGCGACATACACGTACCAAGAAACAGTGTTCCCGGGCTCCCAGATCAGATCAAGTCAGGTCAGGTTCGGTCAGGTTGCACAGGACTGATAATGGCCACCGCCAATCGAGCGTCCAGATTTCTTCTAGTAGTATACTCACAAAGTGTGCACCCACCACCGCGAATCGCCTTCAGTACGGCGTCCTTGTTGAAAAGGAAAGGAGAAGGCTCGTCTTCTTCCACCTCATCGGCAAACAATGGACATGGGTCATGAAAGCGTTTCTTAGTACATTAAAGATTCTATTATGGTAAGAGTTCCAGCCATCGCTCATCAAGGGCGAGCTTAAATGCAGTCACGCTTCCTAAATCTACTAATTTATTTGGCAACCGGTTCCAACTTTTCACTATTCTGTTACCGAAGGAGCTGGATCTAACAACCAGTTTGTACCGCTGTTTATGTAGTTTGCACCCGTTCTCTCTAGTTCGTTGGTGGATAGCCTCCTGAAACATGCTCTCTTCCCTTACTTCCGAGAGCCCCAACATAATCATTAAAGGTCTCTAGCAAGTCTCCCCTTAGTTTTCTCCTTTCTAGCGAGAAGAATCCTAAGTCTTCTAGCCTGTTTTGTTATGACTTGCCCTTTTGACCTTCAATCATTCGAGCGGCTAGTCTTTGGACTTTCTCTAAACTGGCTGCATCCTTTTTGAAGAAGGGCGCCTAAGCCCGCACGTTAATGCGACTAATTGATTCGTGCACATACAGTCCCAGGGAACCCCCACTCTCTCACTAATTTATCTGTGATCAAACAAAAAGTAGATCCGGAATCGATTAAACATCGGCGAAGTCTACCACAGACATTGACATTAAAAAATAATAGGTCACAAAAGTCGGTTGAAAAACTAAACACATTCATGCAAACTCTCAACGTACCCATGGTCCTGGTGTGGCAAAAGCGCGGTATGTGGCCGAACCGAGGACAGCGGAAGCATTGCACTTGGCTCGGGTGTAAGGACCTGCCGGGCCTCTGGGGGGGGGGCGCCCGTTTGCTATCTCCGACGGCGTCTACGATCTGTCCCGCCTTGCAGAGTGTATAGTCTAGGAGACGTGCCGACAACTCTGCTTCGGTTAGATATCTGGGTAGGGGGGATGACGCGCCAGCTCGTAGATAACCCGGGTGTCTCAGCCCGGCTCAAAACCTCCCCAGAAGGCGTTCGTCAAACTGTACCGGTGACAGCTCCGGGAAGGCTATCCGGGCGATGCGCCGTAGATCACCCAAACATTCTACCTAACTCTCGTTCGGCTGCTGGTGTCGCAAGAAGAACTGCTCCAGGTATTGTTCTTTAGGTAGGAAGTTAACCAATCTTTTCCTCAGGAGCTGCAGCAGTTGTTGGGCATCCTCTAGGCTCACATAAAGCATAATTTTTCTGTAGCTGTCCCAGGCCAGAAACCCCAGTATCATATCGACTCGCATACTACCAGGAACCTGCTTTATATAACACCGCACTTGAGATTCCCATACTTCAAAGTCATCGCCCATTACAAATGTTTCAGGGGCCGGGATGTTGTAGCTGTTCACCACTATCGGGGTTTGCCAGGGTTCTACTTCCCGGAAATCCTCTTCGGCCTCAACCATTTTCAATTTCTTTACACGTGCGTAAGAGCCGGTTTCCATGTTCGTATCCTGGCACGGTCGCCAAATCGGTAGTGAGCAGCTGACTCTGAAATATAACGGTAGATTCACTGTTAGCAACCTTTCCCCTGCACAATCCTCTTTCACACACAAACGCACAGCAAGAACAACACCGGAAGCAGAGAAAAACGTATATTCCAGAACCGGGGGCGTCAGTACAAGTTTGGCATCAGTTCATATATATACAAGCAACAAGGGAGTGAGGCGAGTGTTAACCAGTGGAAAACGAGTTAGTCTGTCTAGGCATTTGGTGTCTCGTTTCTCCGGGGTTCCGTCTTGTGTTGGCTTTGCTCCTCTTCTGTGTCTGTGGAAAGAGGAAGAAAATAGAAAGAAATTAGTTTACCTTAGAATGTCTGCCCACTTATTGCTACTACACGAAGCTTGTTCATACTAGTCCGCATGAAGTAGTCATCGACCATGCCGAACTTGAAGGTGCAGCTCTTATTTAAGGAGTTCAGCTCGTTTTAAAATTTCATTATGGGACACATTTCGAAAGCTGACAAAATGTTAGTTTTATCTTTTATTCGTCGATAATTTTAGGCTGAATGTTCCGGAAAAGTATTTAGAGTAGATTTAAAAGTTGTATGGAAGGTGCAGTTCTTATTGATGATTTGTTTTGGTTATCGGATGCCCCAGTGAACCTGGCATTATTTTGAAGGTCTTCAATAAGCGAGATAGTTTTTTGAACGACAGATGTCTCCAGTTGGGATTTTGTTCATGGTTCGGATAATGGGGATTGATCATATGACCTTGAATATTTTGAATACAACCGCGTTTGGATGCTACGCGCTTACCATAATTTGCCTTTATCTAGAACACTTACACACTGCCAGGCAAGCACTTTATGTCTACTGGCAATAGAGTTAAAAACGCGAAAGGAAGCGGAAGGATAAGGGTGAACTGGTAGTACGATAATAATACTGATAATACTACTACTTAGAGATAGACGGATTAAGCTACGTAGGATATTCCGTCTATCTCTAAGTTCCGAGATAATCGCAACGCCATAAAAGTGTCAGAAATATTTCCTATCCGCAAACGCGGCCACCACTGTGACCCAAACAACTGCCTCCCCATCTCTCTCACACCTGTCATTTTGAACGTTATGGAATCAGTTGTTGCTGATCAACTGCGCCACCACCTGGAGTAGAACAATAGGCTTAGCAACTGTCTGTATGGTTTCCGATCACATCAATCTACCGGTGATCTTCTGGCGCTCATTTTGCATACATGANCCACGGGGAAACCCAGGCGGTGACATTGGATAAATCGAAAGCTTTTGATCTGGTCTGTGACGCTGGATTGCTGGCTAAACTACCCAAGTTTGGCTTTCCTTCGGAGCCCTGTCGAAGGTCTTGCGCTCCTGCAAGTACTGAAGGTAACTCGAGTGACCATTAGTGGCGGTGAACCTCTTCTAGGCTGCCCGCTTTCTACTCAGTAATGTAACTAACCGTCAAGACCACCACTGAAGCTTATTGGGTCTACCATGCGTTTTAATTCTGCAATTAGCAGCTAGCTACTCAGAAGTAGCATAAACTTTAAGGGTTAGATTCATGGGTAAAATTTAACTGCAGCAAAAAGGATATATCAACTTAAAAAATGAAAATTTAGAAGGATTTAGAAAAATTGTGCTACAACGAGTTAACTCATGGATTCAGGGATATCCATCTAAATTCCATTTGTTTCATTAATCCCACAGAACACATTGAGAACAGCAGCGTGGCGAACAAGCTCGTTTTCAGTTATTCGTAATCATGCCATTACAGAACATTAAATATGATTAAAAATAAGAAAGAAACGGAATGAGAAGTTCGAGTCTTAATGATTCAGTGGTGGCTCCAATCGAATTTCTCATTCCCTTTTTCCTTCTTGTTNTCTTGTTGTTAGTCATATTCAATGTTATGTAATGGCATGATTACGAATTCCATTTGTGCTCATGAACATGCAATAAATGGCTGAATTTGTAGTGACACAAACTACCCGTTTCATGATATATAATTTTCATCTCATGCACCTCATTATTTTACCACACCAAGGCCACTTCTTTGGTCGGAGCGTGTTTGCTTTCACTTTCAGCAAACTTACTGACGTTCGCGTATCTTATCTTTTAGCTCTGCAGTTTTACACAACTGTAGTACGTCTTGTGAAGTGTTTCGTTCTGTTTTCGTATGAACGCTCGTTTTCTCGGGGTTATTGACTAAAATAGAAGCGGAGGGGAGCGGTCATTGATCACCTCTGCCCGGACCAAAAAGTTGGTTACTAAGATTATTCATAGGACTCGCATTTGGGGAATTCCGGTTCGGTTTGCTTACCTCTAGTAGAAATGCGCTGGTGAAATTTTTCATTTTTCCACGGCAAGCCAAAGAGAATTTCAATGAGCACGTATTTCATCGCAGTCGCTTGTGATCGGCTATCAGATCATCTCGAACTTGATCTTCCGACTGGTTTCCATAATCACATTTCGAGTCCTGAGTTTGCAGTATCAGAATGGAATCGCTGACCGACTGATTCGCCTGTGTGATGAATGAATTAACTATTTCCCTCTCAGCTGTTATAAAATGTATGGGCAAATTTATGGTTTCAGCTGCTCATGCGTGCATTACAATACCACAGTGGTTATGATTACAATAAGCATGTGTTTACTGGCTCTAATCTAGGTTCAGGTTGTTCGTTACGATGGCTAACACAGAAAACAACTTTCAAGTGGATACAATTTTTCTCGGGACCTAATGATTTAAAAAAATAATTTCAGTATTGAGTTAGTTTAGTGCTTGAGGAACTGCTGCATTAAGCTGCTCTACATCTCCGCAGCTGACCATTCGTATTTCGCGGGAAAATCCTGTGTACCGCACAGGACAGGATGAACCGGCGAGACGTACCTGTGTTAGCCACTAGGCAGGAAATCGATAGAAAATTATGTCCTGCACCGTTCAACACTACATTAGTGGCTGACTGTGATGAACTAAAATATTTTCTTTTTGAACAGGCAAGTAAGAAGTCAAACACTGCGAGAGGAATTCTTTTCGGATACACTCATCGGTGGCGTACGTATAAAATCGAACAACATAGATCGTCGTCCAGTCGAGTCTACCTCTCATTGCATTTACGTCTTCTGTTGCAGCTGCAACGAAGCATACATTAGTAGAACCGACCGATCACCGCGAACTAGAGTGGCTGAACACATCCCCAAGTAGGTGCGTGACTCTATGACTCAGCCCACACTACACACTCTGACCGCATCACGCAGACCGACTTCGGCCATCGCACGTCATAGGGTAGACGTTACGAACGCGTTCTCGGTTTTGTTACGTCATCAAGACACCGACTAAGGGTACTCGAGGCATTATCGATCGCTCACAACAAACCCACACTGTGCATCCAAAAACGTATGACTTTTAACCTTGACCTTCCTTGGCTGTAACCAATCACGTGCATCACACACACTGTACACAATCACACACACACATGTTTAATACTAACTAGATTTCTTAATTCGCTTCATTTGTCCATCTTATTTGATGTTATACGTACGCGACTGATGAGAGTATACGAAAGGAATTCCTCTCGCAGTGTTTGTCTTCTGACTTGCCTGTTCANGTATTTTCTTTTTCCTCAGATTGAGTTTCATTATATTTATCACCTATATTATTGCTTTAGGTATGGGCAATAATTTATCTCCCGTCTACTTCGTTCTACGTAGTTTCTAGGCTGCATGGTTGTCAACTGAACGTGCCTGACCTTGGTTGCTAAGATTAAATAATCTCAATATGGAAATTGTGGCAAATCTATTGTATTGTATTGTATTGTATTGTATTGTATTGTATTGTATTGTATTATATTGTGATAACTTCTGCAGGCGTGAAGCCTACATTTCAGTTAAAAGTACACAGTTTGGGGTGAGGGGAAAAATACATATAAAAAACAATTACAATGGAAAAGAAACGGAAATTAAATCCGAAAAC